ATATATAGTGATTTGCCTGGACCTGACCTAACAAACCTCCGGGTGTTGCTAAAACGCGGAACGGAAAACGGAACGGAAAGCGGAACGGAACGGAAAATTTTTGTCAATCAAATAACGTAGATTCGATATAAATCAGATAAAAGAGCAATATTCCTGTTGTAAAAGTCATTTCTAATAAAAAGTTATTGTAAACTTTTATATAATCATGACATGTCATACACACCCTCCGTGGAAAAAATGGTACGGAAAGAACTTCGCCCCCCCCCCCTTCCACGAAATAGGATTTTCGTGTTTGGGCAAAGGACATATCCCCTTTTTTTTGCTTGTCAAAATTGTGTGTAGGAAATTTTTTACTGCCCCCCCCCCCCCCGCCACCCCCTCTTTCAATTGGTTTCCAATGTCAATGTCTGTAAAGATTACTACTTATGATATTCAGATTGTGCAGACATGAATTCGCGAATCATGAAAGGGGGAATGGCAGTTTCATAGGGGCCCACAGCCACATTAAAAATTGATTTATTAAATCTTTTGTATATTTTGAACACAAAAAGGGGCAGACCTATTACAGCTTCTCAGACCTTTCCAATGAGTGCATGGAAAAACAAACTCATTTTTACGGGGTCATTCATATACCCCCCCCCCAAACATACACACATATGTACTGCAAACAAACATAATATAACTTCACTGAATGCAAAGATTTTGCATCTTATCTACCACATGAAAGTTTTCCAACTTTGTCTATCCAGAATTTAAATATATAGAAAGCTACTTTATTTTGAATAAAATTTTAACAACCAGTGTGTATAAGAGATGTTTATTCGAGCTTAACGTAAAGGTTTGCCCTAAACGTAATCTTAATAATTTTTTTTTACATTTTATTTCTCTTACCATGGTTCATCAAGATATCAAATATTGCCCCCCCCCCCAGTCATAACCTTTTCACTACGGAAATGTTCGTTCAAGTTGACATCCTCACAATTTTTGTGAATGTAATTAATGTAGTATGTTAAGAGTGTACAAAATATAGTACTGAAAGATGTTGGAGTTAGAACTTATCCCCCCCCCCCCCCCCGAATCAAACAGTTGTTTTCGTTTTGTGTTTTCCCCCCTCCTGAATCTAACAATTGTCTTCTTTTTGTGTTTTTGCTTGTCAAATACTTTTCAAGTTCGTTTACCCCCCTCCCCCCTTTTTTTCAAATTCGATTCAAGGTGAATGCTATGTTAGCGATTTTCGTAAATGAGAGACTGAGCATGACAAAATCAACTTGTATTTAATAGTGGGGGTTGAATATGTACAAGATATATCGTTTATGATAAAATTTGTGTATTTTAAGTGATTTAATCCAAAATAATATATTCCGTTTTCCGTTCCGTTCCGCTTTCCGTTCCGCTTTCTGTTCCGCGTTTTAGGAACACCCCAAACCTCCCGCTAGCTCGCAGAAAATGTTGTATAGAAATGACAATTTCATAAGGGGTGTTCGGGTGGTATTCGCCGTCGGATGTGTTATGAACTTCAGCAATGAAAAACTGCATAGCTTCATCTAACGACATATTGTCCATGGTCATAAGTTCCCCCACTAAAAAAGTCGAATTCAGTCCTTCCGTAATCTGTACACTTTTGTTTCGTTTTTCTTTCCATTCATCAAATAAATTCACAGCCCATTTTGCTTTATTTTCTGTGTTTTTGGACTTTTTAGACTAGACTAACCTTTTTGATCCCTCTTGAAGGGGTTTTGAAAAACGGGTTGAAACACATTCCTTTGTCGACGCCCTGTTTTCAATCTCCTGGGAAGCCTTTATTAATGACAAGTCATCACCTTCGAAGTCCGATATGTCAGAAAATGAAGGATTTTTTTTACGAATAACGGAGAAGCGCGTAATTCAAAATTTGCATGGGAGTTCTCCAGATCAAGAATGTCATTCAAAATAGTATCAGTGTCACTATCGGACTTATCGCTAGGGGTTCTGTAAGAACTTTTAGTCTTAAAAATCTCGACATCACTCTCTGATTCCATCGTGCTTACTGAATGAAATTAATGGTAGCGATGACTTAAACTGAAGACTCGTGTCATACGTGAATTCTACTGTTATAATACCGGACAGAGCTGACCGTTGCATGTCTGTCGTTGTAATATTAGACTGTCAACTGTCAAGAAGTGAAGGAAAACAATAAAAGAGTGGCTTTCTTTAAGACAAAACAAGTGTCTTTTGAATTTTATCTCAATACTTGAACATTTTGGCTTCAAAAATGTTTTAAGTAAGATAAAGGCCTCAAGCGGATCATTATGAAAAATATTGGTCCTCGGCGATTGCGCGCCTCAGCGAGTCCAATATTTTTTCATAATGAACCGTTTTCGGCTTATATCCATTACAGAAATGTACCATTCATAAATGTTTGGTAGACGAGGAAACGTTTTCTCGTCCTTAATATTTAAAATGATTGAAACGGTTTCTCTATGTATGTGAATAACAGTAACTAAAATAAAAGACAGGGCTAAGAATTTGAAAAGAGTGCCAATTTGCAACTCCATTACAGAAGACAGACGAAAAGCCCGTAGAAATATAGCGTTTTCAATTTATTATTTCATTCCCGTATATGCATATACTTTGGTTACATATTTTAATGTTTGATCATATCATAGTAATTAAGATATATCACATTTATAACTATAACCGTTTCGTTTAATTTAAGAATTTGATTCTGGTAATTGAAATGTTCCCTCCAAATATTTGAACTTTTCACATTTGTATTTTTTTGACGTTGCAGATTGCTCCGGGTGTTAGAGAACAATATCACTCCAAATGTTATTACTCGAATAGTTTTCAGGTAAACATGATAAAACTTCGTAATTTATCTGCCAAGAACACGCTTTATCCACCCTGAAAATCTTATAAAGATACAATAATTCCTTTAAAAGACATGAGCTCAGTCTACGAAATTTTGGGACAACCCTCATCTAGTGTCTAGTGTTCAACACTCTTCTTATGTTTTTGTAGCAGATACGTGTTTTATAATTTTTCTTTGTCATTTATTATATTTATCTTGATTTGAAATGCACATAATACATAATATAATTATTAGTTGAAGTTATAGTTATTGTATATTTATTACGGTGTATCCTGTTTATTTGGACGAAGGGCGGTGACGAGAGCGAAGCACGTGTCTCCGCCCTTCGTCCAAATAAATCGGGATACACCATAATAAATATTCAGTAACTTTCTTGTACCATGGCCAATCAAATCGTCATTAATTGTCATGTCACAAGTTCTCATGCATGATTTTTAATTACACCAATAGAATATGTATTTTTTCAGGTGACCGCACGGATTTTTAATGAAATGCAGAAGAAAACTTTTGGATATTAAAGAAGAAAAATTCGAAGCTGAAGAAGGGAAATTCAGGTGTTATTCGAAAATCAAGAAAAAAGATACCCGGTGATCATTTGACATATATTCGAGAGCTGTTGCATTCACGAAAATGCTGTGTTAGGGTCAGTAACTCTTCATATATGGATGCAGTAAAACTGCATTTAATTGAGCAAAGAACACAGCAAAGATGGTATATTCTGCTAAAACGCTATATTACAATCACTGTGATATTTTGATATATTTCTGTTTGGAATTCATGTCAAGAACTTGATTTCTCGTTGCGGTGGATTGAATATTTGCAGAGTTCCTCAAAAGCATTTCGTAGTTTTGGGATTTATGTGAAAGACTTTTATTTCATTTGCAGAAATTTTGCCTTTGTAATGAAAGTTTGTATATAAGAACGCCCATTTCATTCTGTACTTCAGATTCAATAAACATGTTATTTAAAATGATGAAATCGCCTTGGTGTTCAATAATTTATTTAAACAGCACAGTTTTTGCTGGCTCCGCCCATCGGTGTATCTCGTTATTGTACACTTTTTTTCAGGGAAAAACAACCCGGCCATGATACAGTTCCCTTTTGTGTATATTCACCGATGATCTTTCAGTAGAAAAGGCCTTTGGTCATTAATTACATCCAGGCCTTATGTTGGATGTTTCATTTGAGTATTTTACTTGGGGATTGATTTATATTTTCTTCCGCAGTGGCGCAGTATTTAGAGCGTCTGCTCTAGAGTCGCGAAGTAAGGAGTTGATCCTTACGTCGCGGGTTCGCATCCCACTGTGGGACGTAGAGATCGGTCCTTCGGATGAGACCGTATTAACCGAGGTCCCGTGTCGCAGTTGGTATATATATGGCATGAAAAAGATCCCTCCCTGCACAATGGCCCTAAGTGCCGAATACAAGACAAAATCTGCAGCTCTCCACCGGCAAGCAGTGGCGTCTCCGTATGAGTAAAAAATTCTCGAGAGGGACGTTAAACAACATACAATGAAAGAAAAAGTGAGCAAGCTCACATATCCCACTATCCCCCAGAAGTCGAAGTGCTGAAATTTCCGGAAAAAAATAGAGGAATCGGAATTTCCTGGTAATATGCACATCTACACATTGTGTCCTAAATATCTGCAGCGGTTTATGAGGAGTTGCGCTGACAAAAAAAACAGGACTGACGGACTGACACTCTGACTGACTGACTAACGGACGGGTCAAAAACATTATACTAAGTCTTCACGCAACGTGTTGCGTTGGGTATAATTAACTCTCTCTCTCTCTCTCTCATTCTCTCAGATCTACGCTTTAAAAAAATAACTGAAGCATTATTGAATAATTAATCTTTTTTTTTCCTTATATGGCTTGTGATGCATCATTCCATTTTGTAAATTGTGTTGCAAAATGGCCTGGGAGCGTTCACGACTCGCGTGTTTTTAAACAGTCGTGTCTTGCCAGATTGTTTGAGACTGGTAAGAAGTAATGTGATAAGAATAATTTTACTGTTAATAATGGGTTTGACATTGATTTTTTTTTCACAGATGCTTACGTTGAATAAAGAATTTAAAAAGAATTGATTTGTTTCATTAGGTGCCTGCACAAGATTAATACTGGGAGATTCGGGTTAAGGAGGTATATGATGGTTCCGGTTCTGGTTCCATCGAACAGAGCCGAGGAGAAATTTAACACTGCTCTGTGTCGCACTCGAGTGACAATAGAACAGGCTTTCGGAATCTTAAAAAGAAGGTTTCCTTGTCTACAGATAGGTATGTTATACAGTATACTCAGAGTATATATTTATCTTGTATTCCTCGACCCTCCATTGATAACAAAAGGAGGGGGTCAATGAATGTTCCCATTGTAAATTACTGAAATAAATTATTGCGGAAAAGGTGATTTTGTGATAATTTTTCGTTTTTTTAAAAATATTTTTTTCCCTCTAAACTGCTTATTTTCTTCAATAAAGGATTACGACTTCAGCCTGAACAAGCATGTAAAATTGTTGTTGCCTGTGTTGTACTTCACAATCTCGGCATTGAGCGACAAGACATCGTTGATATGCCCCCTGTGACTGGACAAATAGTTGATGAAGCTGTCTTGCCGACTGATAGAGGACGCAATGAGAGAAAGGCAGTTCGAAACCACATAGCCCGTACATTTTTTGGAAATTAAGCGGAAAATAAAAAGAAACGTTAAAATCAGTATGAATAATTTATTTTAATTGCTTCTCTTTTTGAATACGCAAGAGCTCAATTTCCTCAACCAACTGCTCCTTTTTCAGCTTCAATATCTCTATCTCCATTTTCTTTTTTCTGTCATTAGTAAGTCATTCTGCAGTTCCATTAAACTTTTAATTTTCTTTTCAGACCCTTTCTGACTTTTTGCTGCGCAGGAGTTTTGAGTACTGAGGATAGCGGAATTTGTGGAGTCGGAAGCAGACTAAGGGCACTCTCCAGACGAACAATCCACGTCCATATCTATAAAATTAAACACGATTCATGCAATGACTTATGACAGACTTTTATTTTTTTTATATCGTGTTTGGCATAAAGTTCTCTTATTTAAACTTGTCAATAGATTACAATAAAATATGTTCAAACCATCAAGAAAGTATTCTTAACACCAGAATCAAAACCAGAGTCCAATCCCTGCATTGACGGCCTTCCCTCCAACGTATCCAGCATGGCTTGCTTAACAGGGGTTGGTGATAGGGACTTTGGACCTCCACCTGTTTTAGGTCGTTTCATTTGCGACAGTTTGTCCTTGCTAGTTAGATCAATAATTTTTTTTAAACTCCGTTGTAAATTTTAAAAGAGCGTTATCGATACATGTACGTATATATTATGAAACGGTGCTATAAAAGGTTTGATATCGATAAAGCGAATTATTGAGCATAAATAAACCGGAAATAAAACACTGTCATAAGAAATGTAGTTCAATACTTGCAACTCTTTAGTATGAAATGAATATGAAAAATTTTATTAAAGCTATATATGGCGTAGCTGAGTAGAGTTTACTCTACTCAGATCTGGGTTGAGTAAAATAAAACGTTCGTGGTCTCGCGGACAGAAGAGCTTATTGCGATAGTAATACGTGCGTCCGTCCGTCTGTCTATCTGTCTGTAAATAATTTTTTTTCAAAATGCTACTTCTCCTACAGTTTTGGTCTGATTTCAAAATACCGGTATACTGAAAGGAAAAAGAAACGCAGGGTAAACTTTTGAGGTGACTTAAATTTAGTTTTCTTTTAATTTTTTTCAGTATTCCTATCTAACTTTTAAAATCATCTTTCAAAAAGATATAACAAAAATCCCATTTGATTTTGTCTAATAATTCATGAGTAATTGAAGCTCGTATGACGATACCCCCCAAAAGTGAAAGTCGAAAACTCATTAATTTACCTTCATTTCTTTCCTGCGCATCTGTCAGAGCCTTATTTCTCCTTTGCATGGAATTGATCAGAGTGTTTATCTATCAAACCCTGGCTATATTGGGCATGGGTACATGTAACCACACCAAAAAATCAGTCAAACGACGCGCGCATGCGCCAGTGAGACGAACACAACAGTAAGTTGACCGGCTCAAAAAACCAAATTGCGGAATTGTTTTCTTTCATTTTTCGTGTGAATGTAATAATTGTAAGTCTATTGTATAAATGGCGGTTTTTGTGGTAGTAAGGTGGCGATTTAAATGATGGCAGGACGAATAACCCGCTCGTAACATGACTATTTCGTGTTAACGTCATCGTCACGGTTGATTGAAAACTATTCCAGGCCCTCTCTGACAACGGGTAACAAGTTTTATGGGGGAAAATTTACAAGAAACTACTTAGTTAACCGTTGTTGCCTTTTCCATTAATTAGGCAATTCGAAAACAAGACCCCATGGAACTTCCGTAAACTGTACCAAGAATGCAAGAAAATCATATCGTCTATAATGATTTGCATACCTCAGGTGCATCAAATGGCGCAACAAGATTTGTTGACAAACTCATCGTCATCAAATTTCACGTGTTTTGGATTTTTTTTAGCGTTTTCCCCATGTGACGTCATACATTTTACGGTTGAGTAACTCTGAACACTGATTTTGGTGCATAGTAACTAAATTTCTTATCTGACCGATTTTCGGTCATGCGGTCAAATTTTTTTCGAATATTATGCTACCCTGCGTTCCTTTTCCTTTCAGTGTAACTTTACACACAAGTAGACTAAACTAAGATGCATAATTCTGTATATCGGTTGTTAATTTTGATGAACATTGTTGTCGTGGTTACTAAAAATAGAAATTTCTGTAAAAGACTTTTAAAATGCTACTCCTCCTACAGTTTTGGTTTGATTTCAATATAACTTGGCACACAAGTAGACTATACAAAGATTCATATTCTGTATATCAGTTTTTGATTTCGATGAACACTGTTGTCGTGGTTACATAAAATAAAAATATCTGTGATATACTTTTAAAATACTACTCCTCCTACAGTTTTGGTCTGATTTCAATATAACTTGGCACACAAGTAGACTTCACTAAGATACATGATTCTATATATCGGTTTTCGATTTCGATGAATGTTGTTGCCATTATGTTACTAAAAATGGAAATTTCTGTGAAATACTTTTAAAACGCTACTCCACCTACAGTTTTGGTCTGATTTCAATATAACTTGGCACACAAGTAGACTACACTAACACCGGTTAGAACGGTGCATTCGGGGTGGCAGCACCGAAGCGGCGAAAAGATCATCACGGTGAGAAAATGTCAATGTTTTTCAAATGTTTAGACGAGTTAGATCAGAAAATTGTATTCTACTGAAGAGAGCAAATATTAATCTACCTCTTACCGTTTAAAGCAACCCATAAGACTGCTCCGTTTTCTCAAACACTCCTCCTCACTTTTCCGGGTATCAACGCTTTCGACATTTGACAATATTCTGTTTCAAAATTGACATCAGAAGGGGTTTTCTCTGATTTTTTTCAACATTAATAAAATAATACGACAGAAATTAACTTCAATCACTCTTCATAAGTTAATATATTTCACCAATTAAGCCAATTTAGGCTTCAGACTCTATGCGACGATCGGGGTGGCGGTTCCCGTGCCTTGCGGGGTGGCAGCATATCCTAGAAATAGGGATTATTTTTTGATGCAATGTTCTCCTGGCCCCTTTCGAGACAAAAAAAAAAGAGTCAGATGTCTTAGAAGAATAAAGATATGTCATGACACCTGATTATACTTTGCAATGTGGCTATTTCAAACTTTAAGAAGTATAATTTTTACAATTTAACGATCAAAATGAACAAGGAATGGACACTATATAATGATAGTAGTGCGCTAATACAGATATTTCTTTATACAGTTCCTACATTTAAGCTTTGAGCAAAAGTCCAAGTTAAGCAGAATATCACTATATTTACAATCAATGTGTATATACAAATGTATAAAAACATCTTGTTGTTTTCCCAACAATAAAAAAATTAACTGAATGACTTGATAAATTATCAATTGTGATCATCTGCTTATTCAGGACATATGTTCAAAGCCGGAAGATAAGAGTTTTAAAAATTAACAAAATAATCAAATTGCGGATGTGCCCATTTTCTGATCTGCGATATTCCTTTATACATTATTTTTTGCCTGTATCTAATAATGTCAAAATTACTATTTTAGCTTCTATCATGACTAGAAAAAAGTCAAAACTTTGGCTTAATGCACCAAAAAGTGGCGCCAAACCAAGACGTCAAGTTACCTTTAGGATTTTACCTAAACCTCCAGTGCCTAATGTTCATATTAACTCCTCTCCAAGGATATCCAAATAAACACACATGCACTCCACAGAAAGGTCTGACACCAAAAAGAAGTCGCCTCACTCCACAGATATGTTCTCCAACATTGGAATGTTTAAACACGGAATCAATGGGATCTAATGTCAAAGACACTGTGGTGGCTGATTTTAAAAAAGCCATGACAAATCTTGAAAAACATGGTCTTGCGTCTGATTTTTTATCGTTCATTAAAATGGTCAAAGACGAAGCATTTCCAATGAATAACATTTCATTTTTACTATTTTTGGAGACAGTAAGATTTATGTCAAAAAGATTAACATCGGAAATGCGGTATTGGGATACAACCAAGAGATTCTGGAAGACGGGATATCGTTTATTTCATGGTAGATTTTTATATTTTATGGGTGGATCGAAAAGTATTGATTGAAAACGTTGCAGAAAAGGGGAGGACTATTCCCCAGAATGCAAAGATAAATTTTGCTGTTCCAAGTCAAAAATACTTTCAGATTTCAGCGCTTTTGACCTCGACATCCCTAAATCAACTCCTCCTGGTATTCTTTATCCAGTTCTGAAGACACTCCAGAACCAGAAAAATTGCGAATATATGTTATGCGCTGATGGCAAAAAAGTGACAGCAGGGGTTGACGGTAAAGGTGGGGATGTAGATATGTTTAGCTTTGAGGATGGGGTAACATACGGGGAAAGAAAACAACACTTAGAAGAAATTTTGAAGCTGAATGACATAAATGATTTTATCCAAAGGAAAGAAAATACAGAATACTGGATACTGGATGCAAAGGTGAGCCAAAAATCTGAATTATGCAGGAGAGTATGGGACATACTTGAAATTGTAGGTCAACGCCTGAAAGATTGCAAAGAGCTAGCAATACGTCAGAAAATGGGTCTTGAAAAGTTTAAAGGAATGGCAGGCGATAATTGGCGCGAATCAAAATTCGTGTTTGTGATCAGCGGACTTCAGGCCTCATTGTTTCAGTTGAAAGAGATAATTGAAAATGGCCTTTCTTGCACAAATTCAATTCTATCTATTACCAGTGATATCATCAACACAGGACATTACTATGCAACTGGTAATACTGTTGATCTATCATATCAAGGAAACGTAGTTAGTCTGAAGGATGACAATGAAACAGCCTCAACTATAGAGCCAAGATTTTTGAAACAGCGCTCAGATGTATGGCATTTATTTCGTAGATCAGCAAAAGTAACCGGGAGTACATTGCATTCAGCAGTAGGACTACGAGGGTTAAAAGAGCAAAAACTTCACTATGAAAAGTTCAAAGACGGTTTGGAAGTCGCTGTTTCAGAAGACGTTCAAATGCGTATGACTCATGGAAGCAATCATGAAAAGGATGCAATTGCGACTCTTGTCGGCAGAATTTTGCCTGTTTATTTCCCGGAATGTTTTTTCGTAGAGGAAGGCTGTTACATTATTCCCGGGAAAATGTTGATATTTGGGGCGTTGTCTCACCAGATGGGAGCATACGATTAGAAGGGCCGTTTGAATCTGAAAATAGTATTGTAGCTGCTATTGAAATAAAATGTCCGTGGCCAAACAACAAAAAAGTGACTCTTCACAATACACTTCCAGACTATTA